GAAATGAACTAAAATAATTTTATAAATTTTTTTGGTAATTTTTTAAAGTCATAAACTATTTTAAAATTTAAAGAAATGGGTGAAATAAACCAAAAATGATTAAAAAAAATAGCAAAGTCAGAAACAAAAATAAAATAAGGTCACTAATATTTGTCACAATATCATTGGATCATTCCATAATTTTTTCAGAATTTAAAAATACATAAAAGTATTTTTAAACATTTAATACAATTCAAATAAAGTGTAAGTTTATATAAAATACTAAAACACAAAATTAAATTGTGAAAAAATAAAAATTAGAAAGAGAATAATCAAAAATATTAATTTTTTCAGATTTTTTGGACTTAAAATGAATTTTTCTATGTTTTTTTAAGTTTAAAACAATTAAATATAAAAAATCAGAAAAGAAAATAAAAGTCAAAAATATGTGGATCATTGGATGAGAGTCAAAACGCGTTAGTAATCAAATCCAATGGATCTGACGCGCTGTGCATATCATGGTCATTAGTGAATAAAGCATAGAATCAAAAATAAAATCAGAATTCAAAAATAACAAGTGACGTGCCATCATTGATTGGAAGATGACACGTTAGTCATCTTCAACCTCCAGCCAACGTGAATTGCAGGTCTCTCAAACTGTAAAATCAGAAGTTCAGACCTATGTCATTCGCTTCGTCTCTTCAAGACGAAGACAACCACACCCTCGCGCCAAATTTATATAAACTGTAGCTCAAGCAATTTGGAAAGAAAGTTTTGAAAAGGTATTTGAAATTTCATGGTCAAAACGTGTTTCCAATAAAAGGTAAGTGTTGCGACTAGAACCAGGGCAATGAGAGCATCACAATGATATCAAAGTTTTGAAGAATTGATGAAGGAATCTACCTATTGAAGTTGGGTTGCAGAGCTCTGAAACTGGACTTCTATGGAGAAATATAGGGTACGATTCTTAAATGTAAGTATATGGTTAACTTCAGAAAAGATCAAGGAAGGTGAATTGATGAAGAAATTGGATTGAAAATGGCTTGTGTATGGATTTCAAAGTTGCTGAATTCTGAGTTATGGAACAAGTTTGGCAGGGTGATTCTGGTTATCCAAGCTTGAGAAAAAAGAATGGGATAGTTCATGTATTTATAGGAGAAGCAAATGGGATCAAAAGGAAGAGTGAATGATGCATTTTGGAGAGAATTCGTGCAAACCTGATGCACGAGTGAAGTGTGATCTAATTTTCACCAAAACTCATTCAATCCTTGCGTTTTGAGGTGCTAAACAAATATGGAACTTCACTAAACATGTTTAAAGGCAAAAACGCGTGGAAAACTTGTGATTAGAGGCTACATTATGGATTTCAAAATTCTGACTTGGTGAGAAATTCAGTTTAAAAGTCCCAACTTTTGACCAATGGTATTTTCAACTCAAAGGGTCTTAGGGCATGATTCTTGATGCTTTAGAAAGGTGAGATTTCAAGATTTGCAATGGAAAAAGAATAGAATCAAATGGATGCTTGAGCTGAAAGTTGTGTTTAGTCAAAGTTGAGGAAAAAGGGTTGACTTTCCATACTTAGAAATATTTCAAATTTTTCTTCAAAAGTGACCTATAATGTCTTGCATCCAAACATGGTCTTCCACTTGGAATTTGCTCTTGACCAAAAAAGATGGAATGAAGTAGATCTCTTGAAAGACATTTTGAAACTTGAACCATTCACAATCTCCAAAAATTAAGAAAGTTATGACTTGTTGAAGTTGGCAAGATTTTATAAAATGACCTATAATCTTTAGTATCCTTAAGGCAACTTCCATCCATTTTATCACTTTGCACATAAAATAAGGCATAAAACATATTCAAAATTATTATGGAAAAAGAATGGGCCCAAGGTGATAAAAATTGACCAAGTTATGATCATTTGAAGTCACACATGAAAAATTGGAGATTCATCTGGAGGACTTGTAATCTTTCTTCCTCATCAAGTTTCTTCCACATGAAAACTCCTTGGAAATTTTGTAATGATTTGTTTATATCCCTTTAAAGAGAAGGATATCTTTGGAATCACTCAAAAATACCAAAAGATGGGCAAGATATACTCCTTTGAAGTTCAAAACCCTAGCTCCTAGATTAAAAAACATGCCTTGAGGAACTTTAACAATTTTGAACAAACTTCTTGTACCAAAAAAAATGCTTTATAAATATAAGTTGTTGAGGATGATAATGAGAACTCATAGCAACCACAACCACTTCCATATATTGATAATTGAGAGAAATATGCACTTGTGACCAATGGGAACAAGACCATGTCCAACCATGACTATTTTTCAATCAACCCCTTGTACTTTTTGGATTAAATCTTGATAACTTGGAAATGTAGTGAACCAAAATAACCTTGTCATGTCATCTCTTCCAAAACAATTTCAATGGTGAGGTTTGAACTTCTCAAACTTCATTGACTAGTTCATGGAAATAAACTCATGAACCCATGGAGCAACTTGCTGAATCTTATTGCCTTTACCTACATGAGTAACAAGCAAGACAATCCAACATTGCATTTCATTAATTAAAAGAATAAATCAAGACAAAAATATTCATGATCACAAAAGAACACAAGTCAAGGTGTTTGGTGATTCCTCAAAGAACAAAGCTAAGTATAGGCAGGGGAACCAAGAATCCTAATGTGATCTTGTTGTGATTGAATCAAAATGGTATGATGAAGAGATCTTAGGGGCAAAAATTGGGGTACAACAGTGTTCACAGCATCCCAACTTCGTCATGAATCTCCTCGACTTGTAGTCAATAATATGTTTTTAAGTCTCCAATGAATAGATTCAACCCTAAAAACAATAAACAAGAATATATGTTAAACCATATTTAGCAATGTACTAACATTAACACAAACATGTTCTGTGTATCTGTTTGTTATTGTATTCCCTAAGTAAGTGACTCTGTTTGTTCAAGCAACAAAAAATCTTTCTTTATAAGGAGTCAACCATGTTTCATTCACATATTTCTTAAATAAAGGAATATCACCACAAATTCTCTCAAAATGCTTCAAGTGTTCCCAAAACTCAGTTTGTATTTGAATATATGATGTTGTTACATAGTTCCATCGCATGTTCTTGTCTTTCTTATTTAACGTACTTATTATATTTCATACTCACGTTTTTTGAAATATGAAATGAACCTGACAGATGAGTTACACTCGAGAACACAGATTCCATGGCATTTATCAATACAAGCTCTCAGTCCATCACCACAACCTTCGGTAGTAACTTCTCGAAAGAGAACAACTCCTTTAGCTTCTCTAATGCATATGTGAAATTCTCCTCCCTTCATGTTTCAAATAGGTAAAGGTGACCGAAAACGTCAACTTCGTTGACGTAACACCAACAATCTCAAGCAATGATAAGCAGTACATGTACGAGCAACACGAAAATAATCAAAATCAACATTTACATATCAACATTTACAACAATAGGTATCAGGATTTCCAATAAAATATTCTTACCTATTTGTCATGTATGTGCAGTCAAAAATCAACACCAAATGAAACATATTTAGCAACTTCATTGAATTTGCATGTGTTCAAAAGGTATCAGCAACAACATCTACGTCGTTCCTATTTCTAGTCCAACATATTTCTCTTTATGAATAAGACTCAACAATATTTGCATTTATGTCAATGGTCCTCTCTTGTTCGTTCTGTATGTAGCTCTGGCTCTATACACTTGGGTAACACTAGTTAGGTCAAGATCTTAGTCTTTTAAAGCAACAACTATGAACTTCGGAGCCATGATGTACTTTGTCATATCATTCATAAATTGCCGTTCATGGTCTTTTAAACGACCCAATATGGCATGGTCTTCCAAATCCTCAGATAATCTATGGTTATGTATCACACACCTAACCATCACCTTCCAACCAACACCGCTTAAAACAACTCTCAACCTAAAAGGACATTTCACTTTCATGTTATAAATGTCGTCAGATGAGTTTGTGCTTTGACATGTATTCTTTCTTTTATAATTCCCTCCGCTCTCGCAACTCATAATCTATTTATCATTCATCCCTGACATTCCATTAGTATAATCGAAACAAATAGTGACAACAATACCATGCTATTTCCAATAGTCTGTGTTTATGCTAACACATCTGATTGAGTCTTGAATATCTGACAATTTTGAATTATAAAGATTAAATTAACAATTTCCTACAAACAGACAAACATTTTGTAATAAGGTTTGATAAAGAGAATGAATACTCACAACATCAAGTGATGAAGAACTCCGTACAATCTGTACAAGAATCCATAGAAGAAGCTGTCGATTATGCCGATTGAGGATCACACAAGTAGAGAGACCATTTTTTGCCATACAGAAAATTACAGGGTTGACAAAATTTGCCGTAAACCAAAAATTTTGAAATTTTCAAAATTTTTGAAATGTATCATAATTTTATGAACAATCCAATATAATATTCAAATTTTTGAAATTTGAACCACCAATTTGAAAATTTTCAGTGAATCGCTTCCAAAAATTACTGAAATACAAAGAATTTTCGATATTCTACCTCAAGAGATACCGGAAATTCACTGATGTGTAACGGAAATTGTTTTTATGGAAATTCTCATAATGATCTTTTTTCACGAAACATAATTTTTGGGATTAATAATAACAAAGGTAATTTGGTCAATACAAAAATACAGAGGTGCCTGGAATAAATAATACGCATGTTAAAATCTCGAAAAACTGTTGTGCAATACATTTAAGCTCTTGCAAGATGACTCAACTCTCAAAGCTAGAATCTCAACATACATTACACCCTTCTCTACTCCACAATTAAATAAATATACAAATCAATGAGAATTGCAACTATAACCAATACACACTCCCCTCAAAACTCATAATAAAAATAACAATACCTGTTTCTTTGTACAAGCATTTCAAAAGCCTGATTTTTCGGAGGAAATAATGTAATTTACACACAACACCGAGATATAGAACATAAAACAAACTTCAGTTTTGCTGGAAATACAAACCATACTCGGGGAAGGCATTCAGAAAACTCGCGATGACCTGCGAGGGCAAACCTTGTCCTTGTATTAGCACATGATGGTATTTGTCTATCAAGGACAATACAACTTTTTGCTCATCAACATCAAGTAATTGACCTGTATGCATATCAATGACAATAATAGATGGATTAACCGACACTTTTCCATTTATGATCAAATTGTCAATAAGCAACCCTAAACTAAACCTGGGAGACATTGATATCAAGTAAAGCTGGGACTGAAAATTCAAGCATACTAAATCATTTTGTCAACGCCATTAATTTCTGAAAATGATAACAAAAAATAAACTATCCAGTATGACTGCTGAGATTCAACAGCCTTGGAATTATTTAACACTATGCAAGATACAACTAATAAATATGATGCAAGTACCAAATAACAAAATAGGAGAAGGCTTACCTAATTCCATATCTAGTTCTTCATCTTCAACATCCCCCTCTTCAATAACTAAATCATCTTCCAGTGCCACAGCAGCTTTAGCATACCTTTCAAGAAATTCTTCTTGTGTTTCTTCATATTCTTCAACCTCGGAGTCCTAATTTAAACAAATCCACACAATTAATTACTGTTAAATACTAATAAATTGAGTAAGCAAGAGAACATGTTAATCATGACACCTTGTAAACAAAAGGAGATATAAGTTTATAAAAACACAAAGATAAACATGAAAAAAACTGCAAAGATCAACCTCATCATAATCTTCAGAGTCATCATCGTCACTATCCTCATCCTCGGCATCATCATCATCATCTTCAACCTCTTCTTCATCTCCTTTCTCATCCTGTAATTCTTTCAACTGAATGGATACCTCCATTAGTGAAGTTAAGTAGTTGTGAAATGAATCACGACACGGCTTCCCTTGTTTCAGAAATTGCTCAATCAACCGCGCCAGTGTCAACACTAAAATTCACACCCAAAGAATAAAAGGGTTTGTTAAAAAGGGTTTAAACTGTTTGACTGTTTACTGGTAAAGAATAAAAGAACAAGGTATACTACCACAGTATCACCAAACTTTTAGAACTTTAGATCAAACACCCTTCAAAAAGATAAATTAAATATTTATGTAATTTAATTAACAGTTGAAAGCAAATATTTACCAATTAACTTCATCTCTGACTCTGTTGTCAGACCAGCAGCCTCAAAAGAGCTACTGGATACATGACACAATGCAGATGCCCAAATTATGATACCTCCCGCTTCACTTTTTTCAATAATACCTTCTACAACTTCAGGATAACACAGATAGCATGAAGATATAGCAAGCAATAGAGGCTTCCAGAGTGAATTGGGTGTACTTCGAATTTCAACAAAGCGAGAGAAGGCTGCCCGACTAAAAACAATTGCCAATGACTGTTTTACCCCTTCAGTTTCAATTGAGTAGGTTGGACAGTGTAGTAATGTATGGACACACGAGCAAGCTCTATACATGGCAGAAGGATATTGCTTAATGGCATCCCTAACAAAAGTTCCAATTCCTTCTACAATTGAACGGTCAGGCACTGGTGGAGCTGGAGGGGGTGGAACCTCTTTTACAAGGAAATTTTTCAGCCTGTATGAACAATCTAAATTCACGATTTCCTTAATCACATCAAAAATTGACAAATCTTCTGATTCTTCCCATGTGTTCCACTCTGCAATCATTTCAGCCCAAACTGACAGCAGCTCAGACACTTTCAGCTCTTGAATCAAGTGGCTTGAATCAATAGAGAGTATGACAGACCGTAGCAAAGTTGACAAATCTTCTATGCATGAAGTCGGATAATTCTGGTCTTGTTGATCCTTATAAAATTCAGAAAAACACTTCCAAATAAATTAACATTGAAAACATTCATATGAATATAATGTATGATTAAATGAAGGGCAAGCAACTAATATCTGAAAGCAAAAAGACTAATCAGCACAGTAACTTTGATTGTACATCAAATAAGATCTAAATTAGAAGTGCATGCAGTCGGGACATTTTATTGTCGCAGCAGCTGTAAAACATGAGGAATTTCTAAAAGAGAATGAATTCAACCTCACAAGTGAAATCATCACAGCTATTGTTTCTAGAAATCCATTCAAACTCTCTAATTGGCTTTTCCTCCAGAATAATACTCTTAGGAAAATCAAATTTAGCCAAGCGCTCAAACTAACCTGTGTGGATAAAGGTGTTAGCCAAACCTGCTGCAACAGTGCAGCAAAAGCTCTGCCAATTGCCGTCTGATCCGCAGCCCACTTTTCTTGCAAATCATTTGATTCAGAATCAGATACTTCTGGCCTAGAGTCTTCCCATGTCTGACCCATAACTGCCAGAGCAGCGATTCCACACTCAACCACCTATTGCAGATATTATACTCAGATCAAAAGCAGTAATTGTGTTACCTCAACATAATGAGCTAGTGGCAATTTCAGCATTTGAAAATAAGTAAGAAATATGTAGTCACATCAATGGAGACAGCAAAAACTATGCGCTCAAATTGAGCTATTGAAGCACATCTTTGAAGCATGGGTACTTCTAAAATGGTCAAGTACTTGTACCGGGTACACGTACCTTACTTGTAGTACTTAACTTTTTCTTATTTTAGTTTCTTTGTTATTATTTATACAATTTTTTACTTTTCAAACGATTCATATCATGTTCTGTTTTGAATCGAACAATTTAGTGATCTAGTGATATATTTTATTGAGAAACACTTATTCTTTTATTGCCGTACCCGTACCTATGCATCATAGAGGTGTAAAGAAAAAAAAAGGAAAATTTGATGTTATTCAAATTGAGCCATTATGACACATGGAGGTGTAAGCAGAAAAAGGCAACTTCAGTGTTCAAATTGTTAAAACTTAAGTCCCACACCAAGTAGTATGAGATGCTCAATGGAGTATCTAAAAGGGTTGGCTCTTTTCCCTGGATAGCTTGTTTATTACGGATGGCATTATAATAGGGACTTGAGGATTATGGAGTGTCTAAGTATCACATCAAGTAGTACTAGTATGAGATATTTGGTGGAGTATTTGAGCAATGAGCAACTTAGTTGTTTCCCTTTGACAGCTAGCTTTTAAGGGAAAGTTCTCCAAGTGGTCGAATGTTTATCAACATATTTCGACAAAACCTTGAGACAAAGTTGTACATATTCAACATAATCACTTTTTATATGTTATTATTAAGTGATTACAAGATCAAAACATACCTGAGGCCAAGGCTCCAAATTGGTAGTTAACCATTTTGAGACTGAACCCACGAGAGATGGGATGATGTGTGGGATATGAACTGAAACTTTCTCCTCTCCAACTTCCATGATAGAACTGAGAAGCTGAAATAAGATGGAGCTATCATTCTCATCATTTCCAATGTTGCTAACTATTACTTGCAGAAGGGGTAGAAAATCAGGGGGCATATAGTCATTCTGAAAAGAGAAGCAGAACCAGGTCAGTGAAAAAGGAAAAGAAATAACAATGTTACATTGACAAAAAAATCAGGTAACTGAAAGCTCACATCAAGTAGTGTAGTTATTGCCCCAGCAGCAGAAACACGCACAGGATAGCAAGAAGTATCCCGCGTATCCGGCATAACCAATGCCATAAGCAATTGAGAATATACATCAGCACTCATCTCCTAAAATGACACAAGGTTAGAAACCAAGATTGAATCACCTTAGAATGTTTCTGTGACTATATCACAACAGATTCATGAAACCAAATTGAAAATCCATATGAAACAGAACTTGCTTGAACTGTGATAAGCTAGATTGAGCGTGTTTTACCTCTGGTAGACAGGAGCCTAGTTCTCCAAGTACCCAGTTTGCACTTGCAATGAGGAATGGTACAGAAACAGCTATGGTATACAGTGGCAAAATCCGTGTCCGGATGAGAATTGTCACAAAGCCAGATTCTTGATCTCTCAAAAACTGTAAAAGAAATGAGGTTTGAAAACTTCCTTTTGAAAATTTAACTTCGAAAAACTTACAGCTTTTTCAACAAAAGTTGAAATCTACTCACTTCTTGCAGACCGCCATATGCCATCAGTACGCCAAAGTAACTGCCATAGATGATGATGTAAAAAAAAAGGTGCAACAGATTTATTAATAAGAATATCAACTAAACTAATATATATATATAGGAATAAAGCACTACTAATAACGTGATGATACTGACATTAGGTACAAAAGGAAACATTAATGAAAAACGAAAAAATGAAAAGAAAATAAGTTCTACAGACTACAGAGAGTAATGAAACATACACGGCAAAAACTTACCCCCTTCAATCAAGAATACTTTTTTAAGAAACACAAACAAAAGACTTGATCTCCGTAAGATATGTATAGGCATCAAATGGGTATAAATACATAGATCATAAATTCATTTGACTAAATTCGGCTAAAAATCCCCTAAAAGTCTATTAAAAAAATATCGGGCAAATTATTCAGTATTTCACATTTACACTGCTGCTTGGCAAATAGGCTGCAAGGAACACATCAACAAATGAACAAAGTAATTGTTGCTGTTGACAATAGGATGTGCAATAGATCTTAAAAAATAACTTCATAGAAAATATTTATAATAAATTTTGCAATTAACTGAACAGGCAGGCATACACATGTGAAGCATACATAAAAACTCACTCATTCAGGACTTTTTTTTGAGACACGTTGGAATTAGAAGGAATGGGAAACTTGGACAAAAATGGAAGCACCAATAACTCCCCCATAGAACGGCGCTGATTGATTCTTTTGTTCTTTTGACCCTTTTTACGTTTGGCTGATAAACTGTTGGTGGAAGTCTCCATTGGTGGCCCCTGCAAAAATTAATGGCCACATGAACTAAGGTAATAAATAAATTACCAAGGGGCATAGCTCAGGAAATTTCTATCAAGAATTAACCTTTGACATTGAAATAACACCAAGTAAATTTACTGCACTTTTTCTGGCAGTGAATAAATCCTCTCTCCATCCACTAATTTCATCCTGAATATAAAGTTCCGGTCAGAAATCACTACAAATCATGTAAGACAATAACAAAAAAATCAGTATTCATACAATATCCGATGGGAGATTTTTCCGTATATACTCATCAGCATCTTCTTCCCACTCTGACATGTCCTACGCATTGCATTTCACAAAAACATTAATGAGAAAAGGTCTCTTAAGAAAAAGTCCACCCGGTTACTTTTTTAAATAAAAACTTACTTTCTCATTCAGTATCAGTGCTGGAAAGATTGCAGATTCCAATAGAGTTGTAAAATGTGGGGAAACTAACCGCCATCCCTGTGCCAATTGAAATATAAAATTTTTCAAAACATTTATAATATTTTGAAGAATATATTAATTTCAAAATTCAAAGCACCCTAACAATTGAAACTGAATTTAAAAATAAATGGCAACTGAATAAAATTTAAATAACCTACAGGGCCAGTCTCCAGCACATTCGAAATTACATCAAAACCTAGGGAGAGAATTCTTTCTAAAAGGAAAGGAAGTCTCTGCAAAAATAATATGAGAGTTCAGATTTTGAAATGTCAAAAATGAGAAATAAAAATAAATGTTACACGGGTCTAGTATCAAGTTATAGATAACAGAAGAGGTAGAAGCCGTGTGGAAACGCATACAGGTGGTTATTAAATAAATGGTGCCCTAACACCAATTAAAGGAGGTATATTCATAAGAATTTTGTAGTCAGAACAGGAAAGAGCAAGCATAAACATTATTCAATCCAACTACTAATCAGTTATTAAGAACAAATATTAAGAATATCATCTTACGCTGGTGTTTTTGCTAAATTTGACTATGTTTAGAGCATTATTGATAATATCTAGCATCAACCTGAAAACGGAGATGCATTTTATTATACAATACCAAATATGCTTATATCCAACAATAAAATAAGATATTCAGAAACTAGTTTACTTGTCAGAATGTTTCCTGTGCCGGGTGACAAGGGAAGAGAAAATAAGCAAACTTCTTTTTCCAGATTTCCATCTTGTCAAATATACATCTTCTTGAGTGACTGTACAGTCAAAGCTCAGAGAACTCAAAATGCTCATTAGGTCCCGACTAAATGAATTCAGAAGAGGAACTAGAGTCAATGGCATGTAGGACTTTACCTGCAAGTAGAAGTGTCGGAATAAAAATAAAAAATGCCATATTAATTTTTTGGTAGAAAAAAGAATTTAGCATATAAAGACCATTAACTCAGACGGAGAGGGAATATGCATACACTCTTGAATCAAATACCAAGAGAGAAATAACAGGTTACAACAGTTTCTCTTTCACGAGTACAATCAACTTCTCACCTACAATTTAACATAGGCCCAAATAGGACAACTCTTGAAAAATACAACAGCAACTGACATCTTTCAATATTAATTCAATAGCTATACCTAGTCTTAAAAAATATAAGCTGTTGGAAGATCAACTTAGAGAAAAATAAATGTCTAAATTACTTAAGAATTCAACTGAGCAAATGCCAACAATTACTAAATATAGATATATGTATATCAACTATAGACCGGTCAAACCGTTACTTACAGCAAAATGTAGGCATTTGCATATAGTGAGGATGGCTTTCTCAGTTTCTATGTCTGCACTGTCATGGTTTGCTATAACCTGACCCATGCATCATAAAATCAATCAGCAGTGAAGTTCACGGGAAATAGTGAGTAGTGCAAAAAGGTAAAACACAAATACCTTTCCAACAAATTCATGGAATAGAGTAAGCAAAGGCACAAGAATCTCTTTGGCTATGAGCTCTAATTGGGGCGGGTACCGGCTCCTTCGCAATTTTGGGATTCAAAAAATACTGCAGAAATGAGTGCATTTCAGATATAAGGCAAAGAAAGTAAAGTGCCCCAGAATCATCTCTACTAATAATACAACAACATTAACTTCCCATCACAAACAGAGTATTATACAAAGTAAAAAGGGAGGTACAACATTGTAGAGGGAGTTCAGATAGTAGCCATCCATCTATACATCTCAATCAGTATAGAAATCTATTACACAAATTGTTTAATTGTATACAACAAGCATTCATTTCATATAAAAAAACACATCATGACAAATTGCATTGAACAACAAAAAATTCTAAATTATCAAAACCATCAACTGTGATTAAGAATACCTGAAAGGGTCTAATAAGCGCATGAAGAACAATAAGTGCATTGATCGTATTCCACGTGGAGTTTGAACCATTAATAAGATGACTATTCTGAATAGCAGACTGCAGATTAGGCACAAGATCCGGCCACAGACTCTGCTTAACAAAATCTGCAGCAGCAACAACTCGGAACTGCACATCGAAAGATCTCAATTATATAAACAAATCTTAGCAAACCACATATCAGATCACAGATCAGAGACAAAACACAAAATCAGAAACGAGGAGTAAACAAAACGAACCACTTCAACTAAGATCTTGAGAACGGGAAATTCAACTTGAAGCAAAGCTTGCATCAACTGGTCCTTGAACTCCTTGCTCACATTGGAAGGCGTGGCGCCGCTGCTATCGACATTCCGGCGAGTGTGGTTTTTCAGATAAGTTGCAGCAGCAATTTTCTGACCTTGATTTTCTCCACCTGTTGAGAGTAGCGTCGATTGTTGATAGATGTTATAGAAAAACGATATGGAATTGGAGAGTGGAGTATTGGGAATTACCAGTGGAAATTGAGAGGAGATGGAAAGGGAAGTGAGGAGTCGGAGATAGGCGGTCGAGCTCATCGGTGGCGGCACGAACGGCGGCGGCGTCTGGGCTGAGGGTTTGGTTGAGAAGGTGAGCGATGAGAGTAACCTCCGCCATGTGAATCAAACTGTCAGTCACAGCTATTCTCACAATCTGTAAACCCTAGTTTCAGTCTAACGAATTGGCGGGAAAGAACATTTCCCTTAGCATATATATATAGTATCATTTATTTTTTTATTTTTTGGTGGGAAGAATATTACAGATATTTTTTAGAGGAAAAATAAATAATATTATGATACGATAGACTGGAAAGAAAACATAAAAACAAGATAAGGACGGAAAAAAAAATGGAGATGCCAGGAATCGAAACCCGTGCCTTTCGGATGCAAAGAGAACGCTCTACCATTTAAGCAAAATCCCAATTTTGAAATTTTTTCATGTTTTAATCATAATGTTATTTTTACAAATAAAGAAGATGGAATTAGAAATGACATACTGGAATTAAATCAGTTTGCAGGGTCCTCTAATATATACTATAGTATGACATTGTTAAATTGAAATAATGCTAGCAAAAATAAAGGAATTGTCGGTAGGCCTTGGCTTCACAATGATTCTTCATGCTACTCATGCCTAAGGCAAAGTTATAGTAAAAATACAACATGAGAATGAGATGCATGTGTGCTTCCACTCCATTGAAACAATAAAAATATGCCTGAAACACATAAACAAAGATTTGGATTTTAAGGAAGTGGTTGAGTGCAAACTGTTCCCACTGGTAAGACAAATTGTTAAAGTATTTGAGTGTAAACTGTTAAGAGTCTCCCTCACTATTGTGTTTCAGAATCTGTGATAGAGTTATCACTAACATATCCTTAAACATTTTCTCATATTTCTAAATGTAGTCACAAGCAAGCCTCAAAATCTACATTTACACGTACTGAAATCCGAAGGAGTTCCTTCTTTGCTCTTTCACTCATGAAACAAGTTGGTATCGATTTTTTAAACTCTACCCTTCATACTACTTATTGTTTACCCAAATTGACATTGATGCTTGTACTTCCTAAAAAAGTATAATGATGAACAATTTCTTCGTTATATAAGGTATATATGGTTTATATATATATATATATATATATATATATATATATATATATATATATATATATATATATATATATATATATATATATATATATATATATATATATATATATATATATATATATATATATATATATATATATATATATATATATATGGAAGAGTACTTTGGACTTGGGCAGAAACGTTAAAAACAGTTTACCTTGCCTCCAAAACGTGGAATAGAGGGAACACATTCTCCTTCCACCGTAGAGGAAACAATTATTCCACCTTGACTGATTCTCAAGATCATTACTACTCAAGCACTAAATATGTGCGTTAGATGGTATGAATTGTGGGGATCATTACTACTCAGACACTAAATATGTGCGTTAGATGGTATGAATGGTGGGTTTTGAGTCAGGTCCTATTGGGCAGCCCAACTCAGTTGGGTGACCGATAGGTCTGTTTCGAGCGGCTACAAGCTCGCCATACATTAATGCCCCTGACTCTTTGAGGCTTTCTTATGGGATGGGATACGTTTATTAGGTCAGCACAATTATTTAAGTGGAATGGTACTTAATGGTTACAATATGATGTATTTGGATATTTGGGCAAAAGATAATTACTAATCTAGATATTTCGGCATAAGATAATTACAAATCTAGATGAAATTTTAAAAACTCATACATAAAGCAACTAAAAAAATTTCTCAAAAGAACTAAAAAAACTCGTATATCATTCATTTACCTCATTTCTAAGTGAACATTGGTAGAAACTCAAATATGACTTAATAAGATATGAACTTTAATAAGATGTTCACTGTGTTAAGATATTTGGTAGAAATATTTTAAAGTCTTTTCATGGTCCTATTATTAGCTTGTTGATGCTTAAGTGCTCCCTGACATCTGCATTATTAGAGAAGATATTGCTGTATAGTAGAAAACTGCCACCTGGCAGTTTCCACCTCTTGGTTACCTACTGTAACCGGTGCCCTGTTCCTATATAAACAGGTGTCACCTCTTTGTAATTAGTGTGAAAGCTTTTATGAATAACAGAAAGTAGTTACAGATGGAAACAAACTTTCTCTACTCTCTCTATCTTTCTAACATGGTATCAGATTAAGCCTTCGATCCATCTTCTTCCTTGCTCCGATGGCGTCACCAAACTCGCCGGAACGAACTCCGGAACGCACTCCGTCCGGTGCGACGGCAATGTCGCAGCTTCACACGCAAGACGATTCGAATCGTCTACACTTCTCGCTCAAGATCGCACAGAAACTTGATGAAAAGAATTTTCACCTCTGGCGACAACAAATCGAACCGTATATCAACGCTCACGGACTCACTGAGTTCGTCGTTTGTTCACGAATTCCGCTTCAGTTTCTTGATGATGCTGCTCGTGCGTCTGGATCTGTCAATCCAGAGTATTCGCGATGGTTGCAGAAGGATCAAATGTTGCTCTCTTGGTTGCAATCCACGCTATCCAGTGAAATCCTCTCTCGTGTCCTTGGCTGTTCTCATGCTCATGAGCTTTGGGATCGTCTCTTTAACTACTTTCAGAAGCAGACGCGAGCACGCGCTCGTCAACTTCGTGTTGAGTTACGAACGATTTCCTTGGAGAATTCCACGGTTCAAGAATTTCTGCTCAAGATTCGCAATACTGTTGATGCTCTTGCATCTATTGGAGATCCGGTGCCTGCGTCACATCACATTGATGTGATTCTTGAAGGACTTCCATCAGATTTTGCACCTGTTATTTCTGTCATTGAAAGTAAGTTTGGAGTAATGGATCTTGATGAAGTGGAGATTCTTCTCCTTGCTCACGAACTTCGCCTAAACAAGTTCAAAAAGGTTTCAACACCTGATCTTGTTTCTCTCAATCTTACGCACTCTACTCCCGCTCAATCCACTCCTGATGAGAGTGTAGTTGCCACTACGGAATCTCAGTCTCCTACACAAGTCCAGTCCTCTGATTCTGATGCTTCACACTTTCGTGGTGGTCGTTCCTTCAGAGGTGGACGTTCAGGCAGGGGTAGAGGTGGGAGATTCTCCTCTACTATTCAGTGCCAAGTTTGCTCCAAACCTGGCCACACAGCTCTCAATTGCTGGCATCGATTCAACCAGCAGTTTCAGCCTACCTATGGTACTGCCTACAACAATCAAGCCTGGACTACCTCTCCTACTCCTATGGCTGTGCAGGCTTCACATGTTTGGACCAGGCCTCAAGCTGTCTATAGAGCTGCTCCTGCTGGTGCAGCACCTAGTGCTTATGTTGCTCAAGCTGCATCTACAGCCTCTGCTAACAGTGCCTGGTATCCTGATTCTGGTGCTTCATATCATGTAACAAATGACCCTAAGAATCTTCAACAGCTGGTTCCTATTGAAGGTCATGATCAAATCCTGATTGGAAACGGGCAAGGTTTGACTATCACTTCCTCTGGCACTAGTCAATTCCAGTCACCTTCACAGTCTCATACACCTCTTATGCTCCATAAGCTCATGCTTATTCCCTCTATTACTAAGAATTTAATTAGTGTCAGTCAATTTTGCCTAGATAATGCTGTTTATTTTCTGTTTACCTCTGACAAATGTCTTGTTAAATCCCAGGCATCTCATGAAGTTCTCCTAGAGGGTTCAGTTGGTCCTGATGGCTTGTATGTGTTCCCTCCTATTGACTTGTCTAAGTCCAGCTCTGTGGTTTCCACCAGTTCCAGCTCTCAGGCTTCAGCTCCTAGTATTAATTCTGCTGTAGTTTCATCTCATGTTGATAGATTTAGTACTTCAAATAAGTGGCACTTAAGGTTAGGGCATCCTAACATTCAGACACTTAAACTTGTACTCAACAGTTGTAATGTTTCATTCAGTAATAAAGAGTTGGATTTTTTCTGTACTGCTTGTTGTATGGGTAAGTCTCATAGACTTCCATCATCATCATCACACACTACTTACACCAGACCTTTAGAATTAGTGTATGGAGACTTATGGGGACCTTCTCCTAATGTGTCTACATTAGGCTTCAAGTACTACATGTCATTTGTGGATGCCTTTTCCAAATTCACTTGGATTTATTTTCTGAAATCTAAAGCTGAGGCACTGTCTATTTTCAAACAATTTAAGGTTCTGGTTGAATTACAACTTGGCTGCTCCATTAAGGCTTTTCAATCTGACTGGGGGGGTGAATTCAGACCATTTAATAAGCTTCTTTCAGAACTGGGCATTGTCCACAGAGTTGCCTGCCCTCACACTCATCACCAAAATGGTGTGATTGAAAGAAAGCATAGACATATAGTGGATACAGGACTTACCTTGCTAAGTCAGGCATATATGCCTCTGCCCTATTGGGACTTTGCCTTCTCCACTGCTGTCTATTTGATCAATAGACTCCCTTCAGCTTCTGTTGGTTCTCAGGTGCCCTATTCCTTACTCTTTGGGATCAAACCTGACTATTCCTTTCTCAAGGTGTTTGGTAGTGCTTGTTTTCCTCTTCTAAGACCCTATTCTACTCATAAGTTTAATTTCAGGTCTCATGAATGTCTGTTTCTAGGCTACTCAACATCTCACAAAGGCTATAGATGCCTCTCTCCATGTGGTAAAGTCTACATTTCTAAGGATGTTTTGTTTAATGAGTCAAGGTTTCCTTACCTTGATTTATTCTCCACCACTAAACCTATTCTGCCTCCTAATACTTCTTCTCATGTCTCTCTCTCTCTCCTTTACCTATTTTCACCACTCCATCATCTATTCTTTCTCCTTCTGTTGGTCCTTCATCTGCTCCCACAATGCCCTTTAATAGTCAGTCTAGTCCTCCTTCTGCTACATCTTCTGTGTCTTCTCATTCTGCTGCAGGTACTCATTCCTCTCCTGTGGGATCTTCTGGTAGCCCTGCTCCCTCTGAATCTCTTCAGCACACCACCTCTACTGCCACTGATGAGTCCTCTTCTCAGTCTGTCAGTCAAACAAATGAGAATTTAGCACCAGATTCTGTCACCATTCCTCCCAAAGCAGTACCTGTATCAGCTGTTCCCATTAATCATCATTCCATGACCACAAGAGCCAAAGCTGGCTTCAGACAACCTAGACTGGAACCTAGGGTTTTATTGACAGTTGCTGAACCTAAGTCAGTAAAACAGGCTCTTGCTAGTGCTCAGTGGCTGGCCGCTATGCAAGCAGAGTATAATGCCCTAATTTCCAACAACACTTGGACTCTTGTACCTCTGCCACCTCATAGGCAAGCTATTGGCAGCAAGTGGGTATTTCGTGTCAAGGAAAACCCTGATGGCTCCATTAATAAGTATAAAGCAAGACTTGTTGCAAAAGGTTTTCATCAAAGGGAAGGGTTTGATTTTAATGAGACATTTTCTCCAGTTGTTAAACCCATTACAATCAGGATTATTCTGTCTATTGCTCTTACCTACAACTGGTCCATACAACAGCTGGATGTCAACAATGCTTTCCTCAATGGATTACTTGATGAAGAAGTTTATATGGTTCAACCTCAAGGTTTTGAGCACTCTGACTCTTCATTGGTGTGCAGATTGAATAAAGCAATCTATGGCCTCAAACAAGCCCCTAGGCAATGGTTTGAGAGACTTCAAACAGCTCTTGTGCAGCTTAAGTTTCATCCTAGTAAGTGTGATCCTTCACTCTTCACTTATTTTGAAGGAGGCCATACTGTCTATCTACTTGTCTATGTAGATGACATTATTATTACTGGCAGCTCTTCCTCTTTACTGCAGTCTATCATCACCAAGCTTAATGTTTCCTTTTCTCTCAAGCATTTGGGTGATCTGGACTACTTTCTTGGTATTCAAGTCACCAAGACTGCTTCTCAATCTTTGCTTCTCACACAGTCCAAATACATCAAAGACTTACTGCTTAGGACTAATATGCTGGAGTGTACACCTGTAGCTACCCCTATGCAATCTACCTGCAAGCTTACAAAGGTGGGCTCACCTCCACTGACTGATCCTTTTATGTACAGGTCAGTGGTTGGTGCTTTGCAATATGCCACCCTCACTAGGCCAGATATAGCCTATGCTGTGAACAAGGTGTGTCAATTTATGGCACAGCCTCTTGAAGCTCATTGGGTGGCTGTCAAAAGAATTTTGAGGTACCTCAAAGGTACCATCTCCCATGGCCTGCATCTGACTGCTCTTACACCCTCTACTTCACCTACTATTAAGCTGTTCTGTGATGCTGACTGGGCCTCTGACCCAGATGATAGAAGAAGTACCTCTGGTGCTGCAATATTTTTTGGCCCTAACTTGGTCTCCTGGTGGTCCAAAAAGCAACATGTAGTAGCTAGGTCCAGCACTGAATCTGAATTCAGAAGCATGGCTCATGCTGCAGCTGATTTGCTGTGGATTCAAACCCTTCTTCAGGAACTATTCATCTCTTGCAAGACTCCCCAGATTTTCTGTGATAACCAGTCTGCAGTTCTTCTGGCACATAATCCTATTATGCATACTAAGACCAAGCACATGGAGATTGACCTCTTCTTTGTCAGAGAAAAGGTGCTTAGCAAACAATTACAAGTTGTGCACATCCCAGGCACGGATCAGTGGGCTGATGTGCTCACTAAACCATTAGCTTCCACTGCTTTTTTGACTCTTAGGCACAAACTCAGAGTAGTTGCCTCCTCCTGAGTTTGTGGGGGGGGTATTAGAGAAGATATTGCTGTATAGTAGAAAACTGCCACCTGGCAGTTTCCACCTCTTGGTTACCTACTGTAACCGGTGCCCTGTTCCTATATAAACAGGTGTCACCTCTTTGTAATTAGTGTGAAAGCTTTTATGAATAACAGAAAGTAGTTACAGATGAAAACAAACTTTCTCTACTCTCTCTATCTTTCTAACATGCATCAATTACATGTATATACCAACAACTATGACACCAGTGATATATTCATTTAAAGTTGGTAACATCAATATGAAATAATCAAATCGTTTCAAAAACTTGCAAAACATTCAAACACAATCAAGAAGAAAAATGGAAACACAAACAAACAACAACTAAAATACATTCTACTAGTTATAACAATTAAACCTGTAAGATACATCATAAGCTACTTTCTCAGCAACATATATTCTAATTATATTTTAGATCAGTTACGTAAGGGCGGAGAAATTAAAAATCTATTAAGCTAAATTAAAATGCAATACTTGAAACAATAAGAAAAGTATTACATTAATTAGTCCAATTCTCATGCTCATTGTGAACATGTAAAACCAAGAAGATGAGCCTTTCCTGTTTAGGAAAACTAGCCACTTTGCATCACTAGAGAGATAAGTAACCAATAATCTCAGTTCTCAAAAAAGCATACAATACAACTACACTACACTGCACAAGCCCTCTGTCCACCAACAGATGTAGTGGATTTGGAACACAACCAAACTTAAAACTGATCTCAAAGCAGCTCCATCACTGTGTGAAGTAAAACTACAAGAAGCAAAACCATTAAGTGCTTTGTCCAAGGAGCATTGTTCAATCCTTCTGATATCATACTTCCAGCAGCTGAAATATAAAACAAAATACAGAAAAACATCAACAATGGCCGCGACAAAACAGAATCAGAAGAAGATGTTGATACAGATAATTTATTAATTCGTCATTTTTATGACGAAAAACAAATTGTTGTTAGTTTACACCACGGCGACCACAATCAGCATCACAACCGTGACAGAAATCGCCAAAGTCTTTGCGTGATCAAAAGACGACCACGACCATTATTTAAAACCTTGTACAAACCTATTCATGTTAACTAACACCATATGATTGAAATTACATAGTAGAAATCAAAGTAGCTTACCACATTCCCTTGTTGAGTTAGTGAAACTTGAGCAGAGACAAAGAAGACCTTCCGTATCAGTATCAAACCCGCAAGTCCCACCAGATTGTTTACAACTTTCACATCCAACATGGGGCAAACTAAAAGAAAGTTTAATCCCATAAACCCAATCCAAAGGACCAACACCTCTCAATTTATCACTATTAAACACACTAGTATAATGCGTACAATCCAAAATATTCATACTCATAAACTTCACAGTATTATAGCTGGTAAAACAGCAAGGTGGGGAACTATTGGTCAACAAATGAAACACCCTAAAAGCATTACAACCCCCATAAAGCTCGTCACAAGTGTGTCCTTCAAAGTTGAAGCAAAGATACTTGTAATGGTTGAGGATAGGTGAGTCTATAGAGCAGTTTAGCAGAACGAAAACTGTGTCTTGGGATGGAGGGATTATAGCAGACTGAATATCTGTCATGATGAAGTCGTGGTGTGGTTGAAGAATGGAGCAGGTTGACATTGATGGGTCGTAGAGAGTCATTGTTTGTTTGGTGTAGTCGATGGATTGGACTTTGTATGAGCCGGAAGGGGTTTGGAAGAATAAGTCAGTGGTTGTGCAGTTGAACATGTGGCGGAATTGGGGTGATCCGCAACCGTCTTCTAAGGCGAATGGGTAGTTTATGGGAATGGTGCCACATGAGGTTTTGCAGGGAGAGAGAGTGAGAATGGGAATGGTTTGAAGTTGGAGTTGGAGTGTTAGTAGAACAAGTTTGATGATAGTGAATGGTGGTGGAAGATGAAGATACATTTTTAGCAGAGAAAACAAGCAAACAAACAAAAGAACAAGGTTTGAGTGAAAGTGAAAAGGTAAGTAACTTTGGGATAGTGGTTTTATTTTTTGGTTTGAAAAAGGGTGTGGAAATGGCCGTAATTTACTCGGGTATGGGATTGAAGTTTGAATGGCTTTTTGTTTTGAACGTTAAGTACAGGCTGGTGCATTTGATAGGTGGGGTTCACATGTTGAAAAATTGGAGAAAAGTGAATACAGTTATTGATGTTTTTATTGGAATGTGTTGCAGTTTGAAATCTATAGATTCTATATATGGAAGCAGGAGCTAGTTCCACTAACTTTTCAGAAAAAATTGATAAACTGTACGAAGCTGAATTTGGCAGTTACAAATTTTTTGACATTTTTTTGTTCGGTTTCATAAGATACTAGCGATGAACAAATTTGAACCGTTCGATCGGAGCCGACAGACCTATTGTTTTTTTTGTGCAAATGAATTGGATCGAATTAGATATCGGATTGATTTGGAGTCAGATCAATCCGACGCAGGATCTATAGGCTCTGAATATCCAGTTAGTTTATGATCTCGGGGACTGGAATGGACGAAGCCATTGGATTGATTAGCCCAGACAAACAAGAATGTGGTCGTCTAGATCGTACCTGCGGAAAGATTAGGTGAACCCCTATATATATTCATTGATTAGACCGAAATTAATCGAAGCGCTCGAGCTACCCGCATTTTAATTTTGCTTTATCAAACAGGGACAAGTTACTTAATTTAGATAGTAAAAAGTTGATTCAATCGATTTCGTTTGATTATTTTTAATTCGTCGAAAACCGAATCCGATCAATCTTAACTAATATTTATTTTATATATTTTTTAATATTATAGAGTCCAACCATTATTAGCAAGTTATTATATTTTTTATAATTTAATGGTAGCATTGTTGTATACAAAAATTTAAAATATACAATATAAAATTTTGAATGTTATTTAATTTGTTGTTTAAAGTATAAAAATGAGTAAATTAATATCAAATTATATTTGAAATGTTATAACGTTATAATAACGTTTTTTCAATAATAAAAAAATAATTAAAATTTTGATAGTATTTTTATAAAAAATTAAAAGAAGAATATTTGTTAGTTTTATAAAAGATGAGTCATTTTTATAAATTTATTTCAATAAATATTAAATCGATCAAATTTATTTGATTTATCCATTAAACTGATAAATCTTCAAAAACCTGAATTTTATCTATCAAAATTGAACTTTAATAACGAAATTACTGTTTGCATCAGATTTAAGTTTTTGGCCTGATTTCGACCCAAACTGACTGATTATCCACCCCTACAAAATACTTTCAATTATCAACTACTCCCTTCTTGTCTTTTTTTTTATACTTTTTTTACACATATTAAAAAAGGGTAATAATTATTGTTTTTAAATAATAACTATCATTAACTATTCATTATTTTAATTCAAATTTTCTCTCTCTCTCTCCATAATAAATATTAAGGATAATTTTGAAAAAATAATTATTATTATTATTTTGAATTTTGAAAGTGACAATTAAAAAAAATATATAATTTTTTTAATAAATGATAATTAAAAAGAAACGGATGAAATATCTAACTAAAAATGGAAAACGACTATGATCCCCCTAAATTACCCTTTGAACCTTCAACAACAAATTTACTTCTTCTCCACCTCCTGTAAGTGCATCCCTTACTTTGATTCTTTCATTTATAGAATTATGCCCATTTTCATTTTGATTTCTTCTTATTCTTTTTAAAGCTTCAAATTTGATTTTGGGTCACAACAATTTCTCATTTTTTCATAAAGAAAAAGGAAGCATAAAGAACATAGCACACACAACCTGCAAAATATATATGAAGAAGGCAATCAATGTCTGGATGGAATGAAGAGGAAGAGCATACATGAAGAGAGATATTCATGAATTATGAGAAAAAAATTAGATATTCATGAATTACATCTTTCATTTTCTGCATAATACTTTATTGATTCTTTCTCTATAAATTCAGGTACAGTTGATAAACAGGTTTTAGTGATCCTCTCCGATACGATATACAGGCTAATGCAATTGATGGGTGGGGTTCACGTGTTGAAAAATTAAAGAAAAGTGAATACAGATATCGATGTTTCATTGGAATGTGTTTGAAATCTATATATTATCTATGCACGCGGGAGCTAGTTCCACTGTAGAGTATAGATATTTAGATAAATTGATAAAATGTACGATGTTGAATTTGGCCGGAACAGAAATGTACACTGTGGTTTCCTTTTTGACATGTTATTCGGATTCACAAAACACTCTCAATTATACTTATCATAGGAGGAATTAACTTGTCACCCTCTCCCCAATTATTAATGACACCTTCCATTTTTGTTTATTTCTCAAATTGTCCATGAACAAATTTGAATGGTCGGAAGAACAAAATTTTTGGTAGAGATCGGTTCAGATTCGGACTCAAAATTGCAAAACGGCTCAACCCTTAGTTGAATAGCATTAACCTGTTACACCCCAAATCATATCTGTCATCCCTCCAATGATGGTGTTATTACTCTTATGCCTCTACAAAATTGTTTTGAAATTTATTTTTGCGTTTACTGGAAATTTCTTTTAAAAAAAATAGCGGGAAAAAATTTTTACACTATCGGAAATTTTAAATTTTTCAGTAACTTACAACACTTTTCAAAATTTTGTTCTTGCCACCCCCAAATTTGTTCATGGGCAATTTGGAAAATAAGCAAAAATAGTGGGGTGTCAGGTATAATTGGAAGGTGGCAAGTTAAATCCTCTTTGTTGCAACATGTGCAAGTCTACTTCTGACTAGTTCAACAATTGTTTTTTTTGAATTTCGTTTGTTTTGGATTTAAGAAATGTTTAACGCACCCTACAGATTGTTTCCCCACCTAGTGAAAAATTAAAACTACTCTTAGAATCCAGAAATGCATCTTCAGGCTCATCAAAAACACACACAATCAATCTGCTATTGAGTCACGCCCCAATTATTTGATTGAATTTAATTTGAAAACGCATCTTCGTAAATTTTATGGAGGTGTATTTTCGGAACCTACTGAACTAGAAACATATACAGAAACAAAGACAAATTAACATTGATAACATAAAAACATTATGTAAATAATCGTTAACATAAATCAAAATAATCAATTATGCTTCAGTTAGCTTCAGATGGTGCCGATTAGTGATTATGGACAGAGATTTGAAGTTAAAACAAGCTTAAAATGGAAAGAGGATTTCTGGTTTGAAGCTTTTGCGAGTGAAAATGGCATAGGTTTTGTGGCTCTCTGAGCTTGCAAATGAAGGAAAAATGCTCCTTTATTTATAGGAAATGAAATAAAGTCATGCTACTATTTGCCGTGTTAATCGGTAAACAACCACTGATCTTTCAAAAAGGGTAATTTTTTGGTTACTCACAGGATCGGTTAGTTTAATCCTAGGACATATGCCAATTATTGGCGTTGTTTGGATATAAATGCTAATATAAATAAAGAACACACGTTCGACTGAGAAAGTTTGAGGTTTGAAATGAGTTTGAGTGTAGAAAGTAAAATAGAAAAGGGGTTGAGAAGAATTTAAGTGCAGAAATCTGATAAAAAATGCGAGTAAAGTGCAAGGGAAAATAGATTTTTGCAAGTAAGATAAAAAGGAAAGGAATGTAAAGTGGAATATAAAAGACTTTGATTATAAAATGTGGTGTTTCAAACGTACATTTTCAGTATTCTTTCTCAGGTAGCGGATACTCGAATAGTATTGAATGACTTGTACAGTTAGTTGAACACACGGAAATCTACATTAACTTCCTATATTTATACTAGAACTAGGTAATCGTCGAGAAGTTTCTTTGCTTTAGGATGAAGACAAGTGTCTTCTGCATATGCTTCGACCTCTATCTTCATGCCACATTACTTTCCTCAACTGCCAAGCGAACTGCTTTTCCTTCCTTTCTTCAGATTCAAAATCACATGTTGCTGATACGAGGTTTCCTTTTAGTCGAAGGCCCTGGAGCCCTTTCAGTCGAAGGCCGCAAGAACCTTATGGTCGAAAATTAAATTTAACTTAGAAATTTCTCTAAGTATTTTCCAATCTGTCGAAGTATTTCCAGCTTAGATTTGTTCAATCTATTTTTAGCCCATAAGGCCAATTTATTGTGGGTGTCGAATTTAGGAGCTAACAAATTGTCCCCCAAGAATGTCAATTTCGACGCAAGAAGAAATGATCATTCTTTGAGATTCCCATTTGACATTTGTCTTCTTTTTGGTCACAGAAGTCAATCGTGCGCTTTTCGCCTTCTACCAACCATTGTTGGTATTTAGAGTCATTATTACCTTTTTCCCATCACGTCGCTGTCAATCAGTCATTAGTACGCTACTATGATGGCCGTTATCCCTACAACCCAGGAAAGTATGGCAAATGTTTCCATTACATGTACGATAAATGCTTCAACGTTTACCACGTGCCCCACTAACTCTGCAGCATTAAATGGTCTTGAGGGAAAACACTTTTCCCTGAACACTATAAATAGTCACGAATCCTTTTCTTTGGAATTTTTTACAACTCCTAATATTCCTTATTTTCCTTGCAAAGAAAAGTCTTAAGAACTTCATCTTCTTCGTTCTTTCACTACCTTCAACCATGTCTTTCCATTCAAACGCACCAAACAATCCCAAAACTAAGAACGTTTCTGACTTACAACGACAACCAGAGATATTTTCCACTAGTCCTGTTCTTGTTTCGACTGGGGAGCGAAGGGTTGTTTCTGAACCCATAACCAGGGAATGGCATGAAGCTTATGACTCTCAGTTACTCATTCCCGTTAAGTATTTTAGGCACATGTATGCCATGTCTGACCCACTATCTGCATGCTTCGAGAACCCAAAACAAAATAATACCTTCTTCCTAACTCACCCTAGGCTCAAGCCTATAGGTTGCACAGAGAAACCCAGGAATTACCATGAGGATGCAACCCCTGCT